CTTCTGCAGACTTGCTTTGCCCCACAGATGGTGATGCCTGAATCTAACAATATGGACTCTGGCAAGATGGTCTTGAACTCCTGTGGTTACTAACTTTCCATCCAAGTCAATTCACAAGTGTTCCTGAGACAGGCAACACTCAAGAAACAAGAATTATGATTTATGCTAGTAACTGTTACACTCTAGATCTTATGAGGGCTTAAAAAATTATTACCACAATGGTTCTGCAGAATTTAGGCATCTAACCAGCACCACTTGGCACATTATAATGGGGTTCTGGTTTTCTTTACTGTACAGTATGTTGGCAGCATTTCAGATTCTTGGCACAGATACTTAAGTGAATTTAAACAAACATGGAAAGCAAAAGAAAACATAAGGGAGTCTTGAGTGTCTACATGTAAAAAAATCATTTTCTCAATGTGCAGTTAGCACGGATTCCTAAACTTGGAGAAATGGGAACCATGAAAAGCTTTTGTAAGGAGCTTTTGAGATGTTCTCCAGAGAGCACTGTCACTTTTTAAAAACCTGTCCCCTATTTTTATCTACCAAAGCCAAATATGCTTGAGCCTTCTCTATTAGAGACAGGTTAGGTTCTGGAACATCCATGAGCAAGAAAGGAAATGTATTCCCACTGTATGATCCGTGAGGCTCAGAGCCATGAACTCTGGCTTTCTCACTAAGAAATGACTAGATTTGCCCAGAATTTCCTTTTGGAAATTTATACTAAATATCCAAATTGCAAATGTGCTTCCCAAGTTGATGAGGGGTGGAATTTAGGGCATTCCTTATGGCATGCTGTGTTAGCTTCAAACTGTAGAAAGGATACTACTGTAGTCAGTGGGGAAATGGTTCTGAGCCCAGCTTCCGAGTTACCCTCCCGCTAGGGTTGAGTAAACACATTGACGTTTCTGAAATAGGTCCTAGTGTTCCTTGGCTCCTCCCTGTGACCTCAAGTATATTGATAACTATCCATAGCTCATAATGAAAGAAAAGCAGCACACTATTGAGAGTCGTGACATTGCCCCCCTGAACAGTATTGGAAGCTAAACAGGGTCTGGCCTGGGTAGTACTTCATTGGGAGCATCAGAAGGTGCAACAATCAGTGATTTCCACTTGCTTTCTAGCAGAGCACAGGAAGGTGGGAAATAGGGTATGATGGCTGGTACGGCTGGGAAAAGAGGAGGGCTCACGGGACAGGGAGACAAACTGAAAAAAATCTTCAAAATGTGGTTCAGTGACACCCTGGCAGTAGGGACAATAGGACAGGGTATCTTATTTCAAGACACTAGACAAGCATCAGTAAAGCATGAACATTTATATTTAATTTACATTTTAACAATTTGCACATAAATAACAATGTAAACCAGTACGTAAACATAAGATAGTTTGTTGTTCTAGCAAAGTAAAAAGCCAGTAACTTTGGTCAGTCTTAACTCTGAGGAGGGGAAAAAAAATAAAACCACTGTTAATTGTGGGCTCAACACTTACATGTAATAGGCCTAAGAGGAAGACAGATGGCAAGAAAAGCAATTAGTCCTTATAAAAATCCTCCAAACACAAGGAAACACAGGAAGAAAAACAGCGTAAGTTCACTAAAAAGAAAACATTTGGTGTCAATGTCACACCCTGCTTTGGTTTACCTACAATTATGGACATTTTCATCAAACACACAAGCATCCAGAAAAGTCAGTCTTGAGTTGGGCTGCAACTCAGTGACAGCTTGCTTGCTAGCATTGTTTTGTTCCTTGTAGGTGAAGAGAAACCCATCTTGCTAGTCACAGCAACAGATAAGTAAGGCTCTTGGGTTTCCCTGGATGATTTGAAGTTTTCCTCTTTGTAAGTTGACAGATACATACAAAACACTAACCTAAGCATTAGACTGCAGACCGAGGAGGTGTCAGGATTCCCAAGGAAGGGGATGAAGAGTGTACAGTGGAGATGGAAAAAGTAGTTTTCTACGAATACAAATGTAGCAGAACAGTCAAACCAGACAGATGATGATGTTAGAAAGCAAAATGCTGTGTCTAGTCCTCCCTAGTCACTCCGTAGCCCTCACCTCTCCACCTTGGTGCTGTGGTCTCTGGTAGAAGGCAAGGTGGTGCACCAGTACCAGTGTGAACATGAGGTCATGGACTTTCAAGCAAACCCTCAGAGATTCTTTTTGCTTGTTAGGAAAAATAGGTTCTTTTACATGGCTTGGCTCACAATTTAAGTGGTTATAAATATATTATATATACACATGGTATAGTGGTATAAATAGATTCATAAATATACATCATTCTTTGCTACACCTTGAACACCAACAGGTAACCTTTGGGCTTAGACGAGTACAAGACAGAACAACCCAGCCTACCATTCTGGAGCACACACGCTCAGCTGAGTAGCAAGTCATGAGATAAGACATCACTTCCTGCACTCCTACGGGATACACTCAATGAGGTAATTGTTGTTGAACAACTTTGCAATGCCCTTTCATCTTCAATTAAATTAATTATAAAATACAGAAACACAAATACTGAGAAAAGCTGAGTTTTACAGAAGTTACAATTGATGTGTTGGGGATAGGAATGTTCATTACCCGCTTAACCTAAGATGACAAGAATACCCGTTTTTTATTTCTTTGTTTTGTTTGTTTAGTTTTCAGTTTGTATTTTAAGTGTGGTCTGAGCTTATCTACATCAAATCCTTCTACGTAGGGCACCACCTTTGTGCAATTTTGACATTAAAAAACAAAAACAAGTCAACAACAAAATGACACCCAGCCTCAGGCCAGCAGCCCTCACACACACACGATCATCTGTACTTCAAGACAGATCCTTGGTGGATTGTACATGGCATTGTATCTTCACATTTTCAGATAGCACGCTGGCATGCCAAAATCATATGGCCACTCAGAATGGTCCTATGACACTGGAGACGGGAAGACCCTATGTTTTTGGAGAGACAGGCTGGCAAAGCCTGCACTGTTTTGGTAAAGTTGTGGCTGGTTGGGGGGGGATAAACTATCACCGAAAAACATAAAATACTCTTTTCTGACTCCTTCCCCTCAAATTATTGCTGAGTAATTCTGCACACACACCCCCAACTTATACAATGTTGTTCAAATGGTATTATTCTCTGAGTTAACACACCAACCATATGACTTTGGCAATATCAAAACCTCATTTTAAAGCATTGTTATAGAGAAAGGCTGAAATCACACAGCTGACTACTAAGTCTCAGGTATTTCAACAGATGTGCAGAAATTATCTACAAAGAATGGCCACAAGACAATAATACATTTATACTCAAATTACAAAGAATCTTTCCAGTCATTGTAAACGTTTTTTAATTATTGCTATTTGAAAGATAAACTGTATAATAAATTATGAAGGATTATCATTGAAAAAATAATTATGGCTAGGCAATAGTTTTAGTAATAGGAAGGCTATGCAAACATATCCACACAAATATTCAAAATACACAGGTTCAAATATATAGACATGGCTGTAAATAAGTATATATATGTATATATATATATAATATGTATATGTATATATAGTTGAGTCCTTGCCTCATTTATGCCCTGAGATTTTGGTAACTTTGGAGTCCTTCTTAAATTCCAGAGAGGTGTGGGGAACCACCTGTTGCCAGAAGTTTTGCAAATCTGGAATTGTTTACAAGCAATTCAATACAGGCACCCTGACTCACCAAGTCATAAGCTAAGAAGCAAAGCAAAACACTTCTTTTCTGAAAATCTTAAGGATCCATCGGTTCAACTGTTTCTTGTTTGACCTTTACAGGTACCAGAGGTAGTGGGTTGCTGTGAGGCAACTTCATGAGGGACAGGTCTGATGACTCATAGAGGCCGCACCCTGAGGAGAGGAGTCCGTTCCCCATGTTTCTTTGCAAAGACGCCTTCAGACCAGTTTCTTCTTTCTCTTTTCTGACCACAGCTAGAATCTCCTTTTCCACCACAGAGGTCACATCGATGTTGTCCTCCATATCCTCAAGACGGTCAGCATTGTCACTGATGTCGAACTTTTCAATTTCTTCATTAATTCGGGTCAGATCCTCCAAAGGCAGCCCGGCGGCTGGGGCCACGGGACAGTTGCCTTTCAGGTGGACCTTGAGGCTGCAGAGATGGATATAGCTCTTGTGGCACTGGGCACACTTGTGGGGCCGCTCCCGGGTGTGCAGGCGCTTGTGCAGCTTCAGGTGCACAAACTGAGTAAACTTGGCAGGGCACACCTTACACTGGTAAGGTTTTTCTCCAGAATGCAGTCGAAGGTGGGTCTTGAGATTGCTGGTGCTGCTGAATCGCTTGTGGCAGACCTAAAGCATGGAGAGGAGAGAGTGCAGAGAAAGGAGAGGAAAAACTGTAAGATTAAATATTGCCAGTGGGAGCTCAGAAGCCTCGTAATGGCGCTCATGGTGGAGTAAGCAATAAGGGGGAGGGTGTAGTTTATCTGTGGCCATTTCCCCAACCCCTGGAAGCTAACTGTCACCCACCCATCACTACAGCCTGTGAGCAGCCACAGAGGGTCCAGAAGCTTCGATGTGCCAGCAGCCTGTGGCAAGGCAGAAACCACGTGTTGGTGGAAACAACACTGGAAGGTAACGCCACGGATACTTTCTACAGAGGTCAAAAGCTCTATCCAGAAAACAATGCCCACCTGGCATTCATGTGGCTTTTCTCCCGTGTGTACCAGGTAGTGTTTCTGCAGGTGGGCGAGCTGAGTAAAACCCTTGTTGCAGGTCTGGCATTTGAAAGGCCGTTCTCCACTGTGCACTCTCAAGTGGACCTGGGAAGAAGCCACAGGGTTAGCTCTGAGGTCGAGATGAGGCCTACCACTTAAGCGTCTGCTCCAAGAGCCAGGTGCTTTCGATGCAAGGATCTTAGGAAAGGCATCAAGATAAACCCCCGCCTTTTCATTATTCATCAGGGAGCACCCGTGCAGCTCAGTCCCAAGCTGGGTCTCCTACGGCTCAAGTGCAATTAACAACCCGCGGCATGGCAGCCGAGTACAAGCAGCAGGTGTATGGAGGCCTACCTTCAGGTTGGAGAGCTGACCAAACGTCTTGGCGCAGACATTACACTCATACTTGATCTTGCCATTCTGCTTCTTCAGCGGGTAGGGAAGAGTCTTGTAACCAGTCATGTTTCTTTTGTTTTTGATGAGATTCATGGCTCCGTCAGTGCTGGGGGCTGCCATCACTGCTGAGGTAGCTTTGGGTTGTACCACGTGTTCTGACGTGGCTGCGGTTCCCGCCGTTGGAGATCCGCTGGGGGGACTACTCTCGTCCTTCATGCTAGCGGCAGTCCCGGTGAGGGAGAAGGCACTGTGGGGTGCCGGGACAAGCACCTCTCTGGGGTGCTCCGGTGGAAGCAGCCTCCGGGCTCCATCCGAGGGCAGGGAACTCGGTAGAGAAGCTGGACTGAGCATGGGGTGAGGCAGGTTGCCCCCACCGAGGAGGTTACTGTAGACAGGATACAACCTGGGGAAGAGGCTGAAGTTGTTGATGCCATTGATGTTGTTCATGGTGCTCAAGCCGTTGGAACTTATGCCGTAGGGTGGCAATAGGAACTTGGGGTAGTGAGCATTGTAAGAGGGGATGAAAGCTGGTGGGAGGTGGGGGGCAGGTGCGTAGCCGGGGTAGGAGCCCAGGCCCTCGGAGCCATAGGAGGCATTCAAGTAGGAGTAGGAGTCCCGGTGTTCTGGGGGGGCTGGCGCCAGGGGTGACATGGTGTTCCCTGGGCTGCTCTGGGGGCTGGAGCTCTTGAGGCTCTGCTCGGGGCTGCTGCTTGCTGGGGGGCTTGGAGTTGTGGAAGATGGAAGGGGACTGTGAGTAATGTAAGTGGGTCTCTCTAGCCCATAGGCCAGGGATGCTTTCAAAAAGTCTTCGGGCAGAGGTGCCCGGATGGGGTAAACAACCCGAGGGTAGAAAGGCATGTCGGGGCTCCCATTTTTCCTGAAGCCATCCATGTCCTTTTCTGAAGTGAGGGATGAAATGTCAGAACAGTAGAAGTCCTTCCTTTTGGTGGGATTCGAGTCCAGTTTTAGGATCTCTTTCACGCTGTACTCTCTCTTGGGGACAGTCTTTGGGTAAAGTTCATTTTTCCCACTACTGTATTGCTTTGGGTAGCTTTCTGTTTGTGCTAAAATGAAGAAGAAAGGGCGGTTACTCAAAGACTGGAGAACTGAAGTGAAATCAGAAAGCATCCTCTTCTTGAGAAACTGAGTAGCAGCTGGCAAACAAAGGCTAGACACCTGGCCCCTGACGCCTCTCACTCCAGAGGGCTTTGGGCCACCCACTCAGAAGCTTCCTCAGAGGAGAAAAAAGTGGGAAGGACAGCAACAGAAACGGGAACAGGCAGCCTCCACACAGCCACAGCACCATTGGGAAGACCTCGTTTTCCATTAGTGCGAACTGTGACAGAAAGTGCTGTTCAAACTGGAACAGCAGGGCGCTCACTGAGATGGGGTGGAAAAATACAGGGTGGGTGGGGGGTTGTCACAGGTTAATAAGTCCTTCTGATGTTTGCAGTTCACCTAAAGGAAATCGGCACTCTGCAAGCTTAGATGGGAGATTAAAACTAGTTTTAAGTCATGAAAAGTCATCAATTTTCAACTTAATTCTTTAAGCCCTGTTCAAACTGCCTGTGCCAAATAGACTAAGGCCATGGATGCTACCCTTTATGGACAGCACCAGAATTTCACCAAGCTCTGGTCTAACTAGGCTACCATCTGGGCTGTCTCCTGGAATCGTGAGGCGTGACAGCCACCTCTGCCAAACCACAACAGGTACTTCCCAGGCCAGTTCAATTACTTACAGCACCAAAGAAAACAGAGGCAGCTAAGAGAAAACATTTACTCCTAGAGACGGCATGTGTTCCCTGGTAAGGCTCAGAAACAATGAGGCCCTTCCTAGGCTGTCCACTGCCATCTGGCCAATTACTCAGCAAAGATGAAGCCTGCAGGAGAAGCCTCAGCTCAACTTCCCTGGCCAAAGATACCACATATGATGCACAGGCTGAGCTATGGTTCCTGGAGTGCTCTCTCAAACAGGCACTCCTACCTAGGAGTAGGCTGAGGGCAATGGGGAGGGGAGCATGGGTACAGGGGATTGAAGATGCCATAGGTTCAGGATGACATTAGGGCACACACACAAAAAGGCATCCTTTTCACTCGTATAAAACAGCCCTATCGGGCTTAACTGAGAAGAAACTCCAGGCTTGCTACCTGATAGGTCTGAAGATGAACTCTTTGGAAACCCAGAACTAAACCTTCCCAATCCATTCTCCAGGCTGACAGGCCGGAGGGATTCAATTCCAGTTGGAAAGCCCTTTAGAGGATGTTATCTCCTGCCAGCTATTATCAGTTCCCCCTGGGCAGCCAGAGCCCCAGAATAAACACAGTGGCCAACACTATCAGGGCTATGCTGGGGGGGTCAGTGATGGAAAGCTTTCTGAGGGAGAGCGATTTCTCAAGCCTCTAAACCAAAACAAATATCCCCTTATCAGGCCAATATCAGTCTTTTGGTGAGGCCCAGCAGGCAGGAAGTTCAAATTGTCACTTTTGTTTTTTGAAGCTAAAATGGTAAAGGAAGAGACAAGTAAGCTGGAAAACTGATAGGCAAGGCATCCCACAGTCACAGGAAAGGATTTACTAGAGGTCTAAAAAAAAAAAAGAAAAAAAAAGATGATTTGGAAGCATCCTCAGGTCAAAAGAAAAGGAGGTTGTTTGTGTATAACCCTCCTAACTCTGTCCTTTTGTCAGGGGAATGGGTCTTACTATACTATGTAGCTTTGGTTAGTCTAGAACTTGCTCTGCAGACCGGGCTGGCCAAGAACTCAAGAGATTCACCTGCTTCTGCCTCTCAATTGCTGGCATTAAAGGTGTGCTCTACCACACTCAACATTGTGCCATTTTTATTGGCAAATCGTATCGAAGCCTCATGTTTTTGTGCTAGGTCCACTGTGGAGATGTAACAAATGAAAGCTCTTAGTATAAGGAATTAGGCTCTTCCAGTGCTGAGCCCATGTTTAATCATTGCTAAGCACATCAATACCAAACTCATCTGAAGCTAATGGTTGAGCCTCCACACAAAAAAGTCAGAACTTCATTTTCTCTGTGGCACACACACAGCATCGTGTTTGGTGTCTCTGTCTTCAGAAAAACAGGCCACCAGCTTACTCGGAAGGAAGATCTGCAGGAAAATGTCAGTGTCTCTAAAATACTTCACAGCTGGAAATTATAGAATGTGTATGAAGGTACATTTTTAAAAACTCGGCCTTCAGCAGCTGAGTAATCAGAGGAGCTGGTATCATTTCTGACTCTCCCACTTAGCAGCTTGAGTTAACATGAAAAAGAAAAATCAAGATCTGTTTTTGTTCTTAAATCTTAAATGGCTGTAGGCGGATGGAGTCATTTCAAGAGTGAGCTGCCTCTGAGGTTCTCAATGGCTTCATTATGCCGACTCACATTTTCGATCTATAATAAGCACCCCTAGGACTACAAGAAAGAACCTAGAAGTTCTGCAGTAGGCAAAACAAAGTCTGTTTTCAACTGAAACCGAGAAAGCAGATTAACATGCAGAAGTCTATAATTTGGTCAACTGATTTCTAGATGGGTTAGTTAGATAGATAGAAAAAAATTACCAAAAAGATTTGGAGGGCTAGGAACTAAATTTAATAGTTCTCTTTTACCTTCTTTCTTCTCTTTTCTTTCTTGCGAGTTTGTGATTTCTAGCCACTTTCTTTCCTTCACTCCATCCCTACTCTCCCCCCCATGTAAGCCTTGGCAGGTTCTGGACAGACGTCTATTGTGCTTTAAGCATGGAAATCCAGCACAGCTCATCGTGGACACACGCTCTGCCTATTAGGCCTGATGAAATGGTGGAAATTTTCCTGATCACAGCCTCAATCATCAGTTACCACACCTGAGCCAACAGGTTTCACAATCAGTGACAGCAGCCTCGTAGTGCGACTGTATTTGTTAACTCTTTCTTTAGTGGGAATAGACACTCAGAACAACCCTGAATAAATCAAAGGGGGTATCTAAAGAAAAGATGTCATCTCATAGTACACATGACAACTACTTCCCAATGTCAAGAATCAACACCCCAGTCAGGCATGGGTGGCACATGCTTGTAATCCTAGCATTTGGGAGTGCCAATGGGATCAGGAGTGGAAGGGCATCCTTGGCTACCTATCAAGTTTAAGGCGAACCTAAGCTGAATGGGGCTCTGTCAAAACAAAAACAAAATAACAATAATAAAAGCCAAACACATTGGCCAAGCTGGGTAGTACCACCATGCTCAGTTCAAGGGTACTGAGTTAAGGGCCCCGGACACAGAACTACAATGGGATCCTACAGGGAAGTCGCTAAAAGTTCCTGAAAGCCAGTCAGAGTATATTATCACTAGGTCATTCGTCTTAAGGTGAAAATACTAAAATTAATATTTATTTCCAGTGTCTCAATGGTAAAATATGAACTATATTTATACTCACCGGGAAAGCAAATGAGACTGCATAGTAAAACCTGGGTAAACAATAACTTAGAATTCTCTATAGTTTTTTGGAAATGCTTCCTTAAGTATGAGATAATATCAGAATGAAAACTTATGCTGGAGAATGGTGGCCTATGCCTTTAATCCCAGCATTTAGGAGGCAGAGGTAGGCCAATCACTGAGTTTGAGACCAGCCTGGTCTACTCAGCTAGTTCTAGGTCAGCCAGGGTTACACAAAGAAACCCTATCTTGAAAAACCAAAGATCAAAACCAAAACAACACCCCCAGCAATACCAAAACTTTTAAACCTTCAACATTTCATTTTAATCAAAAGGTGGCCATTTTTAAAAGTGCTGTAAAACTCATCAGTATAACCCAGAACATAGAGCCAGAGTAACAATAGAGGTTAGAATTTTTATTCTTAAATTGTTCTTAAAGGTACTTGAGAATGACTGAAATAAAGGAATGCTTTGTAAAGGTCATGACAGCATCTTTAGAAAAAAAAAGTAAAAGCTTACAAACCTAAGGAACCAAGAATCTGTCAAGATAAAGCGATAGGTGGTTACCGTAAGACTGATTCAACATGGAGATTAATTCATTTTACCATAAGGAAGGAAGCCAAGATATGAAATCTTTAAGGGCTATTCACTTAGATGACTTGAAAAATTGAGTTTTTCTAGAATCAGCCTTCCACATTAGATCATGGCTTTATACCCACAGGTATCTTTACAAGATTTCAATGAATACCCTAAGCCCTGGCACATGGAGGCAATAAGAGTACAGCTGGCATGTTCGACATGCCCATACCAGTCTGCATTATGTCCGCCTCTAGACGCCCTTGTGCACAAATTAGAACTGGGAATATATTTCTTCTTGTAACTCTCTGAAATCAACACTCAGAGCAGGACATCATATAAAATAAGCATGTAATAAATATTTGATTAAATAAGGAACAGGGATATTAAAAATGTTTTTCTCTTCCTAGTCTTAGCTAAAGCCACCTACTTAGTCCAACAGGTGATGAAGCCATATAATTAAACAACATGTCATTAGCTCACAGGGGCAGAACTGACATGACCAGCATTTTTCATTTTTTTTGTCCTGTAATCCACTTACTAAGATTCATCACTGTGAGCTCTCCAGGATAAGGATAGTGAAGCCTCTCTGCAAAGTCCCGACAATACCACACAAGAAGTTCCTGGTTGGCAGGGATGGGCTTAATGGTGTAGAAGTAGATGTTCATCCCGTTCTGACAGGCAGCCAGGTTTTGCTCCCGGGCGGAGTGAGCCGGATTCACGTAGCGCATCCAGTTACTCTTCTCCTCATTAAAGCCATCAATGAAGTGGTGGAACTCTTCTCGGGAATAGATCTGTCCAAAAGAGAAGACAGCTGCAGTGTGAAAGGTAGCTAGCTAGCCCAGAGCCAGGGAACAAACACAGGCAAGCAATGCAGCCTCTGGATTCCAGCCCTCATTGCCTAGTTAGAGAAAGAAGGAACCACCGGTCTGCCGGGGGGCTCCTAGAATCAACAGAAATGAAGGGTGAAATAGGTAAGGTACATTCTGTCAGCTACCTTTTCCATCTCAGTATTATGGTCTTTTCATTTGGGGGAGGATAGACAGCAAAAGAATGAGACGGAAAATCTCATCTGAACAGCAGACTGGAGTGAATGAAACCACCACAGAGTTCTCTTGCTACAGCAGCGAATGGGCGCGCCTCTCAGCACACTTCCAACTATGCTGACTTTTAGTGCTTTGAGTCACTGGGCAGAGGAGCCAGCAGAGGACTGCCGCAAACCTAGTCTCAGCTTTTTCTATGGCCTCTGTACTTGTGTTTCCTACACCTCCGCCCGGGGCACAGACTCCGCAAACATCCTCCACCCCCAGCCCTGAGTCCCACAGCAACACTTGTTCAGATGAATACTTGGAGCCCTGCCTTTTTGTGGAAACACTGGGTGGGGCAAAGGTGAACTTCACCTGCCATAACAGAGTGAGCCACTGGCACAGAGGCCAGAGTTTGGCAGTCTGAGAAGTCACTTTTCCTCCTGGTAAACATGTGCAGCCCTGTGCCTCTCTTTCATGCCAAACAGTAGAGATTCCCCGGTATCTGTGAGGAGGCTGGCTAAAACAACACACACACAACCACGTTTAGGGGCTTTTGGAAAAGATGAGGGAAAAAAAAATATATATATATATGTATATGTATATATATATATATATGCTGTAAAGAAGAACAGAGTTTCTCCTTCAGCTAACAAACAGCTGCACTTACAATGGTTGCTAAAAGGCACAGTTAAGAACAGGGAGGGAAACACTCTTACTGAAACCAAAGGGTAATAAACTCACTCCTTATCTTTTCCAGAAAGTTCCTTTCTTTGAAGAGGCACCACCTTCCTTCAGACCCCAGAGCTTTCTTTACACACAGACAGTCAATACCTGGTCATCTGCAGCCGGAGTCTCCAAGAGGTGCCCCAGCTTGTTCACCCCAGAGAGCGCTACAGGGCAGCAAGCTATTGCTTTATTCTTAAGTCACACACTGGCTGTGTGATCCTTTCTCTATTTCTCTCCAGCGTTATCAGAAATGAAAAGGAACCCTGTCCCTTTAATACAGGCAGTAAACAGCAGATTCAGTTTCTTTTAAGAGTGACTTCCTGTGAATTGTGAGGGGGATGTATGTGGCTTCATCAAAGCAGCCTGTGAGAGCTTCCGCGGTGTGTCTTGTTAAGAGAAAATGTAACAAGACTGGGTGAATTCAGCTATCAAGAGGGGTTTTCAAGTTTGTTTACTCTGACGCGCAAACTTCCAGGAACATGGGGTTCCAGTGCTCTCGCACTAGGGCGGAAACTGCTAGCCTCGGCTGTGTTGATCCCGGTCAGCTTCCACGACTACAATTTAGTGTATCCTCATTTAAAAACAGACCCGTGGATGTCATAAAGTCACACACACCCCAAGAAAATAAAATCATGCATTTGTAAAATGTACACTGATGCCTGCCTTTCCCTTATTATCGAGAAGATTAAACACGTGCTGACTCATAGTACAGTTACAAGAAATGTCACTGGTTTCTCAACTTGAACATCTCTTTGACTGTGTAATTTGCATGAAACCCCTTCATTCCTAACAGATGTTCATACTCTTGCCCTACCAATCAGACTCTTCCAACAAGTGAGAAGCTTTATTCCCTATACTGTCTTTGTTGCATGTGAACAAATTAATTCTTCTCGAGAAAAGCCTTTTAGTTATATTATTATTATTATTTTGTAAATCTATAAAAGAAACACGACTGGGAGAGTAAGGGAGATTCTTAGGTGTTTATTGACTATCTTCAAAATGACAATATATTAATGAGCATGTCAGATTGTCTTAATTCAGCCTGTTTGAGGCCAGGATTAATATACTTCTATGGCTCCCATCTGAGAATGACCATAAAAGCAAAAATGTGCTCATATTCTCACATTGCCAGTCCTGTAGCAATATATTTTAACACCAAGTATTTATTAAATAAATAAAAATTGGGAACAAATATTTCCTAACAAATCCTACAGTTATATGTGTAGTAAGTAAGTGTCTAGAAATAAAATGTCCTAGTTGTAGAGGAATTGCTTAGGAATAGCTTTATGAGTAATTTCCTAACCAAAAGTCTTTATAAGTTACTTATGCAAAACATCAGCCAGGGCAAGCATGATCCAGTCTTGGCTATTAACATATCTTCAGTGGTATGTACTGTGTTGTATGAAGAAAAGCACTCACTAAATAAATATAAACAGCTCTTCAAATTTCCAAACTGAGCATGTCAGAGACATCTTGGGGAATAGGAGGCTGACTTTTTTTTTTTAATCCACTCTCAATTCAGATTTTACCCATGACTCCTGTATCCTAGGTCCCCCCAGAGTCCTTGCAAGACCCTGACATCCAAAGAGAGATTGCATAGGTCAGACCTGTTAAATAGCTGTCCTAGCCAAGCCTATCATCTCACGTGAGCGTTAGAATTTTCCTTATGATTAGCAACTTAAGATACTGTCAAATGTAACAGTTTTATGGTGCAGATGGATTTAATAAAATGACTTTTGTGGTTCTCTGCCCCACTGACCCACCTTCTACCTATCCTTTGTTAGTGACATTTCTCTTCAAGATAATAACTCTTCCATTCAATTGAAGTGAACTCAGCAAGAAATCAAGAAAGGGTGAAATCTAAGACTTGGTGACTCATTACTACTTCCTCGAAGAGAAATGCAAATGAACCTGCCCTTGAAGCAAGCAACAAACTGTTTCCTTTCATCACAAAGCTGTGTGTAATGAGTTGCAAAAACCAAGCCTCACATGCAGTCCTATCTAACCACCTACAGCCACAATTTCCAGGCAGAACATTAACCGGGTTCATCAAATTTGCTCAGAATTCCAGTGTTTCCTTGAATGAGCCCCACTGTTTCCCATCACAGGCTGAAAAGGAAGGGACCCCGTTTTTTAAGCTCCATTTACCCCCAACATTGAAAAGTCTTTAAAACGTTTCCTTACTTACCCGCCAAAAATATTTCCTGTTGGCATTCTTGGGAACCGTGTCATTGGTGTAGATTTCACCTATCAGGGGTCCAAACCTTGTTCCCTTTGGTATGTATTCCTTACTCACCACCCCAATAACCTAAAAAGATAAAACGTGAATCCATTACTCAGACTCTGAGGTGTCAATCTTGTTATTTCAGTGAATTGAATTGTCCAATGATAGCCCAGCAAGACATCAGTGATGCCTCCACAGCTAACAGTAAGCTTCCTTAAAATCATCCGGGCAACAAAATAGTCCAGGGAATTGCTTTCTGATGTCTGAGGCTCCTTGCTTTATTGCTTTTCATGCTAGAAGACCAGATCAGCACTCTGTTCCAAGAGAATAAAGCTGCGAGGGAGATGTCAAGATTAGACCCTTCAGTTCCCTAGATTCCTTCTTCTCCCTCAAACCATAAACACAGTGTGTTTGGGGGGGGGGGGAGCAACACTCTAACCTCAGAAACCAAAATAATGCTCTCTACTTATTCCACAGAGGGCAAAGGAACCAGAAACCAAACACATTAAGTTTTTTTTTCCTTCATTCCAAATGAGGTTTTTTCTCCCCCCCTTCTTTCCCTCATAGCTTGTAAGGGTTCTTTACTAGAAGAAAGACCTTTCAAGTAACTTTGTTCTTCTCTACCATCTACTCAATGGTGGTCAGAAGTCCCTCTTTGAAATGGAATGTGTAATGAGGAGACTGTGGCTTCTAAAAGATGTGGCTTCTAAGATCTGAGGAAACGACCTGTTCAGACTCAAGACTTCATGCATTACAGCTCTTTGGGGTTTGCTAAAGAAACATGGTAGCTATGGCAGTTTTTTCTTGATCATAAAAAGAAAAAGACACAAACTAGGAAGCAATTCAAATGAACTCTTAAGAACTGCTCAGCTCACCTCTTACAGTAGAGATTTTCTCACTTTAATTTTCATTCTGGTTCAAAACAGAAATACCCCCACTGAAATGACCAAGGACAGTGCAAAACATAGGATTATTTCTACTTTTATTTTTCTTGGTGGCTCTTGTATAAATTTTATAGCAGGTGCCGATAAGTGAAGGACTGTTCAGACAGTTTGAGGTGGAATCCAAGACTTTGGTTGTAATACACGCTGGTACCTCATTCCATCCATCAAAAATTTAACCTCTGTCTAACACAGAATAAGCAAACTTGGGTAGGCCACTCTTTCACATGTCACTTTTTTTAATCATCAAATACCTTTTATCAAAATAATTTAATATACAGTTAATGCGGCATTCTTAGGACAGGAAAGGGGGTGGAGGAGAAAACTTTCTTTACTCATTACAACTTGAAACAAAGTTGCTGAGTTAAGAGTGTTATTTTTGGCCCTATAAGAATTTGTGGCAAAGGTCTGAAAAAGGCAGATGTTCGCCTCCTCTGCCCTCATTCCTTCTGTCTATGCCTCTAAGAACCCTTCATCACTGCTGCTGCTGCTTGCAGCCCAGCTTTGGGGAGACAGGAGCATCTCAGAGCTGAGGCTTTGGAGATAACAATATGCAGAGAAAGGCTGGCTGGCCTTCCCTGGTCACGGGCTTGTTTAGGACAAATCATTGAACCTACTTTGTAAAACTCATGAAACTGTCTTCTATAATACACAAATTATTAGACATTTACATTTGAATGCTTATTCCATAACATTAAAATGCCAAACAGGAAAAACAAATAATGCCATTTGTCAGTGAGCCAATAATTAGCAGCTGATCATTTCAACATATCCACTTTAAAGCAGTAATTTTAAGAAAGGCACTGGACTGGTTCATCAACTTCGTTTTAAATTATAGCCTCCTGCAGACAGTGTCTTCGGAGTCAGAGCTTGATTACCAACAAGGAGCATTACATCGAGGTCACAGTTTCCCTTCCAGATTGCCATTCTTCTTTCTACAGAAAGGCCTCTTGGTTTTCACCTATCAATCTTACACTAAGAAAACACCTTTTCCTGTGGCCGAAAGGAAGTTAATTAGAATCCTGTTCCTACAACAAAAGAACTGTGGGGAAGGCATAAACCACCTTGTACCTTTTAAGCACAACTATGGACAGGGCACTGTACATGTTTAAATCAGTATTGGAAGCACCTGCCATCTATAACCTCACAGATGCAAATGAACAGACAAGGCATGAGAACAGTTAAAAAGCAAGTAGCTTTTTGAAGAAAGAAAGTACCAGTGTGGCTTCATATCCCAGCTACTCTGGAGGCTAAGGCAAGAGATTGGTTATATTGGGAAATATAACCAGACTGAACTTCAATATTACATGATTTTTATGAACAAAATAGAACCTAATATTTAGAATTCCTACTATACAGAGAGGAGGAATACAGAAAAATTAACCCTGATAGATAGACAAAGACACACACCAGCATTGAGATTAGAGAAATCCTGTTGCCTCTAAGTTACCTATCTATCACTAGTAGGGGTGCTCGCCTCTAATCAGAGCACACAGGATCAACAGCTCGTGGCCTGCATTCAGACTACAGACCTCTCCAGAGGCTATCTCAGAAAACAGCAACTAAACCATCTACATCCATTCCAAGTCTAGCATGCTAACAACATACAGTCAACACCTCTGTGTCAAATTCACATCTGCTTTGTTAGTTCAAGAAGACGCAAAAACTATAACTCTAAGGTGGGGATTGGAGCCAGAGTTGTTCTTAACAGAAAATAGAAAACCAAGCTAAAGGTCCTAAAAGATCCAGATGAGTATAGAAGCCCAACCCCACCTCCCTAACCCGTTGTTGACAGTGTTCTATCCTAGGGACAAGCAAATGGTACAGAGAAACTTGGCCTGTTCTTTGAATTGCACAGTGCTAAAAACACTAATTAAGAGTGCGCTCACCTAACTCAGGAAGGAAACTTCACTGGAACTGACCAGGGTCCTAAAGAATCACTGCTGGAGACTGGTCGCTGTGTGCCTTCTATAAACCTATCAGCAAGAGAAAGAGGCCTCCAAAGGCTGCCCATGCTTCATCTGCTCCTACAGAAGCCCTTCACACTCGCTTTATGTGCTGAACTGACCTCTCTGCTACCTGGGCACATCTGTCTCTGTCAGTGCTTTGGCTAACATACAAACTGTAGCTTTGAGACAAAAACCAGGGTTTCTTTTTAACTTTACAAACTAAAGATTTTTTTGAACAGTTCAGGATGAATTGAATGGGACTATGAAACAAGTCTGATAATAAGAACAATGCAGGTTTGTTTGTTTGCTTTAAAAATAAGTTCCCCCTTAGAGACTGTACAGCATACACGCACAGGAAAGCACAGGGATTTGAAAGAGACTGTTCAATTCCGATTGTGGTCTGGACTTCTCACTTCCAATTAAGAGTATTCTAATTATTTGCTATCTTTCTCCTCTCCAAATCTCACCCAATTAAATTTTCCCTCTGTATTTTTTTTTCTGTAAAGGTATAGGCCAAGGTTTCAGTCTGTATTTCA